CCCAAAAATAAATAAACGTTGAAAAAAAAATTTTTTTAAATAAATAAATAAATAAATAAACATTAAAAAAAATAATAAAATGGCTAGAAAGTTAATTAATTAATTAATTTAAGAATCTGATGCCAGTACCTTCCCTGCTCAGAATCTTCCGTGGTTCCCAGTGACCTGTAGAGTCATGTCCAGGCTTCTCGGCATGGTGCCCTGGATTCTCTGTGCCCTGGCTCTCGGCCCCTCTCCAGTGTGGCCCCTCTCTTGTCACACCCTGCTGTGCTCTCTACAATTGCCTAAACCACGGTGTGTAAGGTCTTTCCTCAGTGCTGTTCTTTCTGCCCAACAGGTTCCTGCCTGGCATCGTCTTGCTGCCTCTTAACTCATTATGTAGCACTCAGGTGAGGTAGGCATCTGCTCCTTCCTGGGTCAGGAGAAGGTGAGTGTCCCTGCTCAGTGTCCCCACCCACTTGCTTTCTCTCTTTTACATGTAATGTGTTGTCTGCATCTCCCTTCCCCAAGAGGGCCTGGAGCTCTTCAAGGGATTCTGTCTTACTCATCTTTGTCACCTAATCCAGGGGGCCTGGCACACAGTAGGTGCTCATCAAAGGAAGCAACTCCTAGTTGCCCCTAACTGAAAGCAACCTCTGCTCCTGTTTCCTCCATGCACCTTCTCTCTGCTGTTTCTAGTACCTTTTCTAGCTTGTATCATTGCTTTCTCTCTAAAGGTCTTCTCTCTCCTATTACCCTGTAAGCTCCTTAAGGGCAAAACTGGTATTTTGTTCATCTTTGCATCTACAGTGCTGAGCTCAGTACTTTCTTCTAGAGCGTCTGAGTGAAAGAGTTCTTATTAAAACAGAAAGGCAGACCCTAGCCCGGCCCCTATGTGCTCCTGGGTCTCACTGCTACCAAACCAGCAAAGGAAGCCTTCACCTTAGATACATCTAAAGCTGTCCCCAATTTGGCCCACAGAGCATCCAGTGGCATTGAGAAGAGTCTGGGCTACTCACCCCCCAGGACCATGATCTTCTTGCGAGTGTCCTCACTCAGGAAGGGCTTGATGAGGTTATAGGCCACAGGAAACAGCTTGGGGGCTGGAACAGAGACCAGGCAATGTGAGACCGGGAGCAAGGCTCACTTTGTCCCTAACAGTGTCCTCCACAGTCCCTTGTGTCAGGCCACAGGCTCCCCAGTGCTGTGGAGCCCACACAGCCCAGGGTGTGAGGCTTGGCACAGGCACCTCTTTGACATCCAGCTTCCCTGTCTAGAAAGTGGGTATTGCCTTCCTATCTCACCCGTCTGGCTGGCTCCAAGGAGGTAATAAATCCTAAAAGCTTTGTGAATTGTAACCCAGTCTGCATATGTCAGGGGTCCCCAGATCCCCTCCTCTGCCTCACCCCATTCTACTCCCCTGGACCTGTCCCAGTAACATTTTGGGCCCCTCTTTCCCATTTGACTTCATCACAGATAGTTCCCAACTTACCTTTATTTTTTTTTTTAATTGTTTTTTCAACATTTATTTATTTTTGAGAGACAGAGAAAGACAAAGCATGAGGAGGGGAGGGGCAGAGAGACAGGGAGACTCAGAATCTGAAGCAGGCTCCAGGCTCTGAGCTGTCAGCACAGAGACTGACACAGGGCTTGAACCCACAAACCATGAGATCATGACCCGGGCTGAAGTCAGGCACTTAACTGACTGAGCCACCCAGGCGCCCCTCAACTTACCTTTAACAACAAAAAGACGCTTCAGTGTCTCAGGATAGTTTTCCTCAAACATGCAGAGAAACTGTGGAAACAAATCACGGAGTCCAGAGGGCCCAGACCTCTGTACCAGGGAGGCAGGAGGGAGGCAGGCCCCGCCTCCTTCAGGCTAAACTCCGCCCCCATCACCTCACCCACAGAGCATCCTAGCAGAGGGGCTCACTCCTACTTTTTCTCCTCCTCACAGCCCCCTCCCAGCCCTGCTCCTCACCTCTCCATAGGCCTCCACCGCAGGCTTCCAGAGATGCTTGAGGCCAAGACCCTCGCAGTCATAGATCAGGGTGACTGTCTCCACCTTCTTCCCCATCTGCAGAGGACAGAGGAGCAGAGTCACATCTTGCTGATTTGGTCATGGGCCCAGATCTGGACAGGGCCATACCAAGGGCCTTCCATGTTGAAATAATCACCCCCAGGCCAGAATTGTGGCCTAGGCTAGTCACTCTTCCTGCCTCGGTGTCCCTGTTCTTGTCCAGTAAACAACTGGGTGGATCTAGATTCTCTCTGAGGTCCCTTCTGTTCTGCAGTTTGACCTCGTGGCCCCCCCTTCCTCTGTGTGCAGCACCTGGTAGTGTTCAGTCCGAGGGGCCTCGTTGGGCAACTTTTCTGGTGAGCAGGCACGGAGACTCTCCATCCAACTTAAGCCCTTAAGGGTACATGCCCACCTAATGATTCTCTGTGTCCCCAGCCTGCAGGATCTCTGCACACACTGGGCTCTCAGTGCATGTTTGTGAATGACGGTGTTGGAGTGTTCCCAAATTTATCACATCATTTCACTGGATCCTTATGATAGCTGAAGAGGAAGGCAGAAGAGATGGTCAGTGTGGCTCCAGCTCTCCCTTCAGTCTTTTTCTTAGAGAGGGAATCACCTGTCCTCACCTTTTTGTTTTGAATACAGACTCTAAGCTCATCTCACCAGCGGTACCCAAACACTTGTCTGAGGACAGGCTGGTCCATGACAAAGATTTTACTGGTGCCCAGATGAATGAGAAAAACAATGATAATGTAATAAATTTCTTCAATTTAAAGGACTGCTCTTTATTCTGAGATTATGCCATTCCTATAGTTTTGGGGGCTGATTATGGCAATAGTAGCTGGTACATTTTCTTTTTAAGTCCTTACTTGGAAAAATAAAAATTTGGCAACGTATGTTAGTCCCCAAAACTCTGTAATTTCACTCATCTGTGAAATCCAAACGTCTGGGCCCCAGTCCTGAAGCTGTGCTTAAATCCCTGTGTGATATGCCTGTTTCTGCTTGAACACCTCTACTGTGATGAACTCATTTTCAACCGTGCTAAGCCCACTTGCCTTTTCGGTCTGGCGGACACACTCCTGAAGAAGCCGCTCACAGTCCCGCATCTTGGTCTTGAGCAAGTCCTGTTTGGTGGCTGAGAGGAGCAGACCCTTGGCATCCAGAGGTCCAATGACATCGTACCAGACGGGGCAGCCATCCAGGTCATAGCCACACATGCCCCCTGACAGATACTGTTGGACCACCTGGGCAAAAACATAGAGGAGGCACCTGGTCAGCAGGCCCAGGGCAGTTGTGCCTTCCCTGTATCCCAGGGCCTTCCCAGGGGTTCATCAAGCTCTCCCTCCACAGCCTTCTCCTGGGTGCCAATAGATAACTCACCCTGGGAACCACTGGGGCTCACTTAGAATTGTCAGACCTTTCCCCTGAAGGTCCCAGTCCACCAGATTCGGGCACAGATTGTGGGTCTAACAGACCCAACATAGGGATGGGGCAAGATCATTTGTCCTCACCTCTGGAGGCTGCCAGCTCATGATGTTGTCAATGTCCTTTTGCTTTCGGAACTCCACATGCTGCAAACACACAGTCAGGGCTTTAAAAGAGCAGGAGTGGGGGGAACCCTTAAGGGGTATCTAGCAATAGATGACAGTATGAAGAGGCCACCATCACATCTCAGGTACGTCATGAGAAGGCAACTGGCAGGAATGGAAAAGAAGGTACTGCATGGTTTAGAGGTCTGGGAAGAAGGGATTATAATTCTTGGCTGGCCCAGAACTATTAAAGTTCTGTGTTTCCAAGGAGGGGAATGCACTTTGTCACAGAGGTATAAGGTAACAATGGTCAGCTAATACTCAGATATGTCACACAAGCCAAAAGCTGTGATTGGATGGGCAGGGAGGGCAAAGGAAGCACAGTGTGATTCTGACAGGCAGGAATGGAGGCAACAGCGGGATATGAAGCCAAATGGATCTCACCTTCCGGAGCATGGCTTCGGACTTCTGCAGGTCAAAGTTTCTAGCTGTAACAGGGAAACGTGGTTAGGGTTAGACCAGCAGGCTGGGCATCCAAGGACAGGGAGATTTCCCTATTCCCACGTAGGGGCTGACTCCCAGATCACTCCACAAGCAGAAGGTAACATGAAGACCTTCATTGGGTGCTTCTGGAACACCACAGTCCCTGAAGGTCAAGGATCAGGGCAGGTGGCTAGAGCCTTGCAACTTCAGGATTAAAAGAATTTTACCCGGGGCGCCTGGGTGGCTCAGTCGGTTAAGCGTCTGACTTCGGCTCAGGTCATGATCTCGCAGTCCGTGGGTTCGAGCCCCGCGTCGGGCTCCGTGCTGACAGCTCAGAGCCTGGAGCCTGTTTCGGATTCTGTGTCTCCCTCTCTCTCTGACCCTCCCCCATTCATGCTTTGTCTCTCTCTGTCTCAAAAATAAATAAACGTTAAAAAAAAAAATTAAAAAAAAAAAAAAAGAATTTTACCCTAGTGGATGCAATAGGTGAAAGATCTTATCTTCTCTCATGGAAAGTAAACCCTGGACCCCTTTATCATTCTGCCTCTCCAGTTACACAAAGTTAATCTTCATGGTCTAACATCCAGTTCTGAGAACTTGATCCACAGTTCAAAGATGAGCATAGTTGCCCCACAGTCTGGGGTGGATCTGGCAGAACATCCCAGTAGGATAGAGTTGATGAGCCTGAGTCAACCTTGCCCTATCTTCAAAGGATCCATGCATACCCTAATGAGACACAGAGGGCCCTCCTCCCATGGTTCCTGGAAAACTTCAGAATTCACGTTCACCTGGGCCAAGTCTTCATTTTATGTTCCAGCCCCAAGTCGTTCTGCTCAAACTTGAACACAAAGACCTCACTACCCCAAATGCCACCTCCTTCCAGGTAATCTGCACTGCTATTTGCACTCAGTCCTCATTGTTACACTGAGATCCGCCGCCGGGACACTCAGAAAATAGGGTCGCTTCCTCAGTCACGTGACAGCCTCTTCAATACTAGTGAACTCTGTGCTGCCACCTGAGTCCTCTCGGCTATCATGTTGCCCATCCATGGATCCTTTCTCTAACCATTTCTCATAGCCCAGTTTCAAGTCCATCTACAGAACTTCCCTTTAGATGTTTCCCAATTGGCCAGTGCCCTTCTTAAAGTGTGCTGTCCAGGGACACCTGGGTGGCTAAGTTGGTTGAGGATCTAACTTTGGCTCAGGTCATGATCTAGTGGTTTGTGGGTTCAAGTCCTGCGTCAGGCTCTGTGCTGACAGCTCAGAGCCTAGAGTCTGTGTCTCCCTCTCTCTCTGCCCCTCCTCCGCTCATGCTCTGTCTCTGTCTCTGTCTCTGCCTCTCAAAGATAAATAAACATTAAAAACAATTTTTTTTAAATGATAAAATAAAGTGTGCTGTCCATAACTGAGCACAGCACCAGGTGTTGTCTACCCTTCTCCAACAAAGCCTAAGAAATTTCTCGGCAACAGTCCCACCCTTAACTCAGATGGAGCTTACAGTCAACGGAAACCCCCAAATCCTTTTCAGCTGTGCTGTTGGGAAGCCTCCATCCCATATGTTGTGAGGTGGTTTTCTGGACCCATCCCTATCAGATTTTCTCTTGTTACAATCAGCTTCACTTGATCCTTTAAAGAGTTTTTGAGATCCAGACTCTTACCAATTTTGCCAACTGACCTATGAACTCTGCCTCCCAGCTGCATGTCCTCTGTGGATCTGATTGGTATCTAGAACTGCTGACAGCCCTGGAAGCTGGGCCAGACAGGCTGCCCTCTGGACTGTCACCTTAATCACTGATCTCTGGGAGTGGCCGAGCACATTCCCTGACTCTGCTATCATGAAATCCAGTCCATGCTCCTGCACCCAAAGGGTATATCAAGAGATTTGACCAATGCCACTCCTCTCGTTGGTGCTGGACACACACTGGTGAACAGCCTTTGCTCTTAGGAAGTTTCTTCTGATGGCCACCCTTTACGTGCCATCGTGGCAGCAAGGGGCGGCTTTTAGAGGAATATAATCTGGGTTTGCCTCTCTGCCCCTCCACTTTTTCGCAGTTTGACCTTGCACAAGATACTGCACATCTCTGACTGAATCATCTAATGATCCGGAAACACATGAAAGATGCAAAGCAACATGCTATCATGATGGGGGAACCCAGCTGATCTGTGAAGGAGTGGTAGTGAACTGTGAGCCCCCTTATCTCCAGGTGGCTCTCCAGTTAACTGGTATCTGCAAGAGTCCAACATCTAGCGTCTTCTTTGAGGGCGCTCCCTAATATCTGCCAGAGTCCAACATCCAGCGTCTTCTTTGAGGGCCCTCCACAAGTTGCCACTTGGCCCTGACTGCCTCCCCATGCCTGCTGAGTCGGGCCTCTCCAGAGCTCCTGCTGCCCTAGTCAGGGACAGCTCAAAGCATGGCTTAGGGCACTGCCAAAGAAGCTGGTCCAGGAGCAGCTGTCCTGGATTCTTATCTGATCACTTCCTAGTCCTAGTGAAGAAGACTCAGACATCCTTTGCCCCCACCCGGCACACGCGCGCATGCACACACACACACACACACACACACACACACACACACACACAATATTTCTACCATCTCTTCGTTTTCATCTGGCCACCTGACCCTGTACTGAAGCAGTACAGATTCGTGTGCCTGCTCTCAGGGCTTGGGGCCAGCAGAAAACTCAACCCATGTGAGGGGAAGGGGCCAAGAGTAGAAGCCCGAGTTCACGCCTAGGTTAGAGAAAGACATTCTGCTGGCATGCGCCTTGAAAATGTTTCCTTTAGAATCAAAGGTAAGAGGGAAAATGTTTCCTTAAAAAAAAAAAAAAAAAAAAAAAGGCAACAAAAACCGTAATTGAAATTCATAGCAGAGTCTGACCCAGCCTGAGCTCCTGCCCAGGAAATGTGAGGCACAAAGGGCAGAGGAGACACTTCCTCTGTCTGAAGAGGCAGAGCCTGTCTTCAGAGGGCAGCTGTGGCTTCCTAGAGAGACTGCTGGCCTGGGAGTCTGGGGCCCTAGGTTTCTGCCCTGATTCTGCTTCTCATTAGCTGTGTGCCTTCAGGTAAGTGCCTTCCCCGCTCTGAGCCTCAGTTGTCTTAACTGGCAAATGAGGATGACTATACTCTTCCGTATGCCTGCAAAGAGAGGGGTTATCCAAGGACTGGGGAGTTGGGAATGCCTGGGAAACCAAGTGCCAGGAGCCCAGGTGGCCTTCTCTTAGATAAAAGAGCTGTGTTATTTTGTTCATCTCTTTGAAACTAACAGCAGCTCAGTGGGGTGTTTGATCATCTTACAGCTGGCTCTTTAAGGCAGCACATTCTTCCCACGCTGCCTACCCGCCCACTTCTAGCTAAGCCCCTTCAGCAAAACATCCTCCACCCCTGGACTGAGGCCATTGAGCCCCCGTTCCGCCCCTTCACCCAATCCAAGTGGGCTGATGGTGGTGCTGGTGGGGTGGTCACAGCTCTTTTGGGGGGAAAGGGCAAGTGGCACTTCCAGAGGCACACAGGGCTCCGTGTGGCTTCCCTGGCTGCACCTGCCATAGGATACATACTAGTACCTTTTCTGGACAGAAAAGGAAAATACATCTTTTCCCCTGTCCCAAGACCCCTAAGGTATGTACATGTGTGTCTGTGTCTATAAATAAATAATCAGGCATGATTTGTACTTTAATATTTGGGGCTATGATTCTACATCATAATTGAATCTCTGCCAATCTAACACAGTGGAATTTTCTCTATTATTTCAGTGTCTGCTAAGAGAATTTCTATAAAGAAAAAAAAAAAGTGTGTCACAGGAACCAGAGAGGGTAGCACATGCCTTGAACCACAGGAGGAAAAAAAGGGAAAAAAGAAAGGAGAGATTTCAGGAGTTGGGGCATGGAGCTGAATTGGACTCTGAAGCTAGTAGAAACATGTACATTTCATCACCACACACAGAGTTCTGTCATGTTACATCCTGTAATAGGCAAGGCACCCTGTCTGGTCCTGTTCTAGCAGAGAGGAGCCTAAAGCAGACGTGTGCCCCTGGCCCCCACGCCATAGCCAGACCAGGGCAGAGTTAAGAGCTAGAACTTGAGGCTCTGGAGCCTGGTAGTGGCCTGAGGGCAGTCTTATCAACCTAGGTTTGGCTGAGTGCTCCCACGTTCCCCGTGCACTCTGCCCCTCCTTCAAGCTGCCTAAACTGCTGGCAGCAGGTGGCTTGCCATCCCAAGAGGTCACAGAGGGGGCCGGCCTCTCCCAGGGGCCTGCACTCTGGTTCTAAACTTGGCTCTGCCTCTGACTACTCAGAGGCTTGGTGGCTTGGTCTTCCTAGGCTTTTCTTCAACCCATTTCCCCAAGTCCATCGGGAGAGTGCATTTATCAAATGGATGGAAAGGGCACTGGGCTGGGAGTCAGCCCGCCAGTTCTAGTCTTCTCTCTGCCTGTAATTCAAGCACTGTGTGACTTGGAGCAAGTTACTTCACCTCTCTGAGCCTCAGGGTTGTTATCTACCCAATAGGAGGATCTAGCTTATACAATTGCCAAGAGCCCTTTGGGTTCTAAAGGTTGAATTCTCCAGATTCTCAGATTGCCAGGGGCAGGGTTTCCAGAGTGCACCATTCTGTTACCCAGGACAAGCCCCTGCCCCAGCCTCCCGCAGCCCCGATTCCCTCACCTCGGAGCCAGCGCAGGAGAAAATAGTCATCTGGATTTGGCAGAGTGGGCAGCACATCCTGGACATTCTCCCGAAACTGTAGGGAGAGGCAGTAGGGTGAGCGGCAGGTCCCACCCCAACTACCCTCTGCCGGGGGCTCTCCGCAGGGACTTTGCTAGACCTCTCTTCAATACGGGTCAACTTGTAGACACTGGCTGAGCACATGGGCTGCATAGTACACTCTGCTGCCTCAGTGGATAGCAAGGAGGAGGCAGGAAGGAAGGAAGACACTACCTCTGCCTGGCTGTGTGCACTTCCACTCCAGTGTGGCAGGTGGGCATATGTGTTCCCAGCTGTGATAATAGACACTCTGGCACATGCCACAATAAAAGCTATCAGTTTGCCAAGCGTTCACCGTGTGCCCAGCACTGAACTTGGCATTTATCTTATTCATGCCTCACTCAGAGTCCCTGGAGGTTTCACTGTCCCTATTTTACAGATGAAGAAATTAGAGCTCAGAGAGGCTAAGTAACATTCCCAAGGCTGAACAGCTAGTAATCAGCAGAGCTGGGATGCAAACCCAGGTCTGTCCGAGGCCAGACAGCACACTCTTGCCACTGTAGTCTTCTGCACTTTAGTAATGGACTGGTGAGCAATGTGCTGGGGGAGCAGAGGAAGAGAAAATTTGATTACGACCAGCCCAGGAAGACAGTGGTCTCACATGACTTCAAAAAAATGGCATATGCATTGGGCTAGAAGGACTTCAAAGGCAGCAGGAGGAGGGAGGAGGGCAATCCAGGTGGAGGGAACAATTCCAACAGGAAGCCATGAAGGGGGAAAGTGCAGGGAGTGCCAAACAAGGGATGTGGACAACCACCTCCAAGTAGGTGAGCACACCCCCACGTGCTCTCCCCATGCCTCCTGCTCCTGGCCACTCACCTCTCCCTACTCACTGACCTTACAGGACAGCCCAGAGGGGACCAATGAGGACCTGCCACCCCCACCCCTTGCCTAGGTCAGCCAGGGACTTGAACCATCTCATCCCATCCCCCAGACTCCCAGACTCCCAGAGGAACTGCTCATCCAGGGCCCAGGCATGAAGCCACCCCTCACCAAGGACCCTACCCAGCCCCTGGTTTCCAGTTTAATCACCACCTAATCCCTCCTCTGCCTGACTTCCCCTGCAGGTCAGCAGTAAAACCTGAAACCTCCCTATCCAGCCTCCCTGGGATGGGGGAGGCCCAGCCTGGGGCAGAGCCTTCATGGGGTTGGTGCCTCAGCCCACTGCCATGGCAGGAGACATCTGGCCCCCCACCCCCGTCCAGCGATGGAAAACTGCTCAGCTGTGAAGATTCCAAACTTTCAGACCGGACCCAATGGGTTCTGGCTCCCAGAACAGCCAACCTCCCCTCTCCTCAAGGGCAACAAAAAGTAGATTCAGTTGGTGGAGAGGGGGTCCAGCTTTCAAACTGCTGCCCCCTCCTCTGCCCAGGCGCCAAGGCAAAGCCAGGCTTACCTTCTAGCCTTCTGAAGAGCATCTGCCCCAGTCCCAGGGAGGGGCCTGGATTGCAGGACAAGGGAGGGCTGGTCTGAGCTCAAACTAACCTCAACCCAGTGAGTCGCTGATAGGATTCCAGCCTTCACATGAGGGTGCTCCCTTCAACATCATCGGGTCCAACCCCTCACTTCGTCTCATCAAGGAGCACACAGAGAAGGACGGGTTTTGCCCAAGGTCGGCAGAGAGACTTGGTGCCCCAGAAAGGGCTCTCCAAGTATCCTCAAGAGCTGTCAGGGCCCTGTTCAGGGTGCCGCTGCCCCGTAAGAGGAAAACCTCCCGGAAATGGAAGGAAACCTGGGGCCCTGCCCCAGCCCCCAGGGCCCGGCTGCCAGTCTTGTGAATGAATATTGCCTTTGTGCCCTTAGCTACCTCCGGGGGCTTCCAAGCAACCACTTCTTCCCAGGTGGCACCGCCAAGGTCTCGGTCGGGGCTGAGGCTGGGGTGGCCAAACTTCCCCGGGGCCTCCTCGGCGGGCGGGGGGAGGGAGGGGCAGGCCTCGGGAGAGGGGCGCGAGGCGCCAGGTGCTGCCGGCCGCAGCTCCGCCAGCCTCCCGCCGGTCCCGCACCGTCGCTCGCCCCCCGCCCAGTTCCTTCCCAGCTCTCAGCTGCCGGAAGGTGAGGCCCCGGGCCGGGGGGCGGGGGCCGGGCCAGGATGAGGACTCACCTTGGCCAGCGCCTCCTTCTGCTTGGGGCTCAGATCGCCGACTCTGCCGCTCATCGTGGCTCGGGCGCGGGCGCGGCGGTTGCGGCAGCTGATGGAGCACGGGTCGCTCTCTGCCGCCGGAGTAAAGTCCCAGCCTTTTGCCCGGGCCTCGGGGCTGGCCGCCAAGCCCCGCCTCTTAAAGGATCCCGAGGGGTGGAGTAGGGAGGGATGCGCTGGGCGCGGGAGCCTCTGGCGCGTTGCCCTCTATCCTCCTGAAGTCGGAGACCCTGGCAGGAGGCGACCAGGGGTGCCCCACCCGGGCCGAGGTCAGTGGACATTAGAGGGTCAGGAAATCTGGGTTCTGGTCTCAAATTTATCCTTAGCTCCCCTGTGACCTTGGACGAGACACCTGACTCTCTGGGCCTCAGTTTCCCCATCTAGGTGCTATCTAATGACCTCTCCTGCAATCAGACCCCATAGGGCAGAACCTCACTGCCCCAGATGGTGGAGAGCTTGCCTGGTGCCGCTGTGGAGGGCCAAGTCCTGAAACCTAGACATCGCCCTGTGATGAACAATGGTATTGGCCATTTCTCTCTGGAGCCCCTGCCCTCTTTCTCTTTGCCATTGGTTTTGGACCACTGCTGCCAACCAACACTCTCAGTGTTGACAGACTTTTCCCTCCACCTGTGAGGCAGGCAGGCCTAGGGAACAAGGAACCACAGACCAGGTCTCCCAACCCAGGGCCCTGACCTCTGCTTCTGACCTTCCCAGCTCTCCAAGAGCTGCTCCTCAGCAGGCAGAGAGGAGTGCTTCCTCTCTGGGAATCAGAAGTCCTGGGTTTGAATCCTAAATCCTCCACTTCTGTCTGTCAGACTTCAGCAAGCGACTTCACCTCTGTGCACCCAAGCTTCTTCATTCATGACATGGAGGTGATGATCTGGATTTCAAGTCAGCTTGAGAGCATCAAGGGAGCTAACGTATGTAAGTCACTCTGTGCCTTATGCACTCAAGTGCCTAACAAAGGGGTTGCCTCTGTGACCACTCCCTAGTCTGCCCTGCACACCTCCCTTTGCCGCCTGCCTGGCCAGGCTTTGGCCTCTGGTGGGGATGTAGGGTGGACATGGAGGAAGCCACAGTAAAGCCACCGCTCAATGAAAGCAGGCCTGCTATCAGCTTATCTGCTTCCCCTGCTTCTGCCCAAGGGCCAGAGCTCTGGGTTCCTATAATTGCGAGTCTGACTTGTGTGATGGATGCTTCAGTGCCATCTGACTGTCTTGCCATGTCTGACCGCCCCTTCTTCATACAATGAAGCCCTTTCCTCCTTTCTGTGCTCAACAGCCTCCTCCCTCTGTCTGCCCCCTCCTGCCTCCCCCCCCCCCCCCATAACACACACACTATATACTCTCTTCCTACCTCTGTGGTAGCAGCTGCTCACATACCCTGGACCATTCTTTCCTCCTACTGTGTGCCAGGCCCTAGGCACTATTCTGAAATGAATCAGACACCATCTTGCCTCCCAAAGATAAGATATAGGCACCATCACCTAGAATATAGGAGCGAGATAAATGTTCCAAACAGAACAAGTGCCTGGGAGGTTAAGGAGGAGAATTTGCTTTGGGTTGTAAGAATCCTAGAAGGCTTTGTGGAGGGAGAGACATTGGAGCTGCACCCTAAAATATGGCGTAGGGAGGAAATAGAAAGGAAATCCATGCTGGCACAATGGCGTAAGCAAAGTTCGGGTGGTTGATGGGAAGCATGGCTCCTGCCAGAGAGAAGGGGAGAGGAAGAATAGGCAGGAGGGACTGGCCGCACCACAGTGTGGCCCTGCTTAGTAGCATCGGCCCTGCTACACCGTGAGGTCCTTGGGCACACCGTCCTGGCTTACTCATCTCTGAACCCCCACAAGCCCCCTACCCTCAGCAGAGCATCCTATACACAGGAGCTGTTCAATAAATGTATGCTGAATGAATGAAAGTGAGAAATGCTCCAATAGGCATGGAGCCCGGTGCTGAGGGAGCCCAGGGAAGAAGACCTAAGCACAGATCATTCAGGGATCAGGCAGCTCACCTCACTTGACAGCTGTGGAAACTGAAGCCCAGAGAGAGCAACGACCCCAAATCATTAGTGGCGTGACAGATGTGGAGAACTCTGCCCGGTGCCTGGCACATGGAAAACCACCACTTAGTGCCTGCAGAGCTAGACCCAGGAGCTTGTGGGCATCCCACCTCTCAGAGTTGGTTCCCGCCAACTCTACGCTCCGGTCTCCAGGAGAGCAGAAAGCAGGAGAATCCCAGTTAGAAGGCAGAGGCCGGCTACAGCAGGCCTGTTAAAGACACCTGGGAGGACTCTGCTCTGCACCTGACAAGGCCCCCTACCATGAGGGTCTGCTACAGGGTGCAGAGCTGAGGGTCTCAGATTCAGCTCTGTGACTGAGAAGCCCCCAACTCCCACCTCTGGGAGGAGTTTTCAGGTTGTCCCAGCTGTTCTGCCCTAGTTAAAGAAAGAACCATCGCCTTCTGGCTTAGGGCAGGACAAGGCTGCCTTCCTTGTTGGACTTGTGGCTCAAATCCTTATATAAGACCCTCCCAGGGACAAGATGTAGGACCCATTCAAAGGAAAATAGTAGAATAGCCCCTTTACAGCACTTTACAGTTTAGAAGGCACTTTCAGATCTAGCTTTTCATTTAAGCCTATGGTGACCCTCTGAGTCAGGTGATTTATTGAGGAACCTAGGGAGAGAAGTGATCCTGTAAGAATATGTGCAAATTTAGGACTTGCACCCAAGTCTCTGGCTTCTGGGCCCTATGCTTCCAGGCACCCATAGGCTGGGGTGTGGACTAGCCTCGGAGTTACCTGCATAGGCTACCCAGGAAAACGTTTACACAGCAGGAAATCACCCTCAGCCCCCAACAAACCCCCAGGAATCTGGAGTTACCTACAATAAAGGCCTAAGTGAAGTACCCTTCTTCCAGTCTGCTTTTTCCAAGTCCTGTGGCTACCTGCTTCTCCTTCCTCCACTGAAACTTACCTATCTCTGGCCCACTATGGAAGGACTAGTTAATCTGATAATATAAATCCTAGAATAATAATCTGGTAAATTCCTCTGAGCTGGTTACTAAGAGAGAACCCCTCCTCCACATCCCTACCTTTTCTCTATCCCCCTACCCCTGTCCAGAAATTCTCTCTCCCTGCTAGTTATGTTGTTCCCCTGTTCAAGACTCTGCAGTGGCTCCCTAGTTCCTTCAGGCATCAGCTCAATCTCACTGACTTGCATTCAAGGCCAAGGCCTATCTCATTCCAGCATCCTTTGGGGCCTTCACTGCCGCTCCTCCCCTCCACACACTTTCGTTTTAGTCAAAGAAGCTCTGTGCTGTTCCTCAGACATACCTTGGCCCTCCTGCCTCTATCAAAATTGCTTCTCTCTCCTGTTTCTTCCTGCCAGATCCTCCTGCCAGATCCTCCCAGGCCATCAGAACCCTGTTCCTGCTGTTTCCAGGAACCTCTCCCTGATTTAACCAATCCAACATGAGCCCTGCAAAACAGTAGCCCCTCTCTCTTGAAGTTGACACTGACTACTCTGTATTGCAGTGGTGACTATCAGGCAATGGCCTGGCCCAATAGGAAGAGCCCAGTATCCTTAGTCAGGCAGGTCCCAGGTGAGATCCAGGCCCCACTGCTTGCCAGCTGTGTGACGAGGGTGCTGTGCTGAGTATACCTTGCCAGGCAAGGTGATGTTAACAGCTGAAAGAAGGCTGCTGGGCCTAGGAGGTCTAGAAGGAACGTGGGGTCGCTGATGGTTCTAGTCTTGGGAGTTAGTGCCCTGGGGCTAAGATTCCTCTGTGACATGGCTACAGACGTGGGCAGGAGCACTGGACTGGGGTCTCTCTCTCCCTTTTTTTTTAAGTTTATTTATTTATTTTCTAGAGAAAGAGTGAGCGGAAGAGGGCAGAGAGAGGGAGAGAGAGAGAATCCCAAGCAGTCTCCATGCTGTCAGTGCAGAGCCCCATGCAGGGCTCGATCTCACGAACTGTGAGATCATGACCTGAGCCGAAATCAAGAGTTGGATGCTTAACTGACTGAGCCACCCAGACTCCCCAGAGCTAGGGCTTTTGACTGTGTTCTTGAGTGAATGTGCTACAGTGACTATTTAGCAATGAATACTGGGGAGAGGGGGTGTGCACCTCGGGGCTATCTGCCTTGACCTCTGGGCCTTGGTTGACTCTTCTCTAAAACAAGGGCACTGACCTCCAGATCAGAGGCCCCTAGGTGCGTTGTCCTCTGATTCTCTGGTGCCAGCGGGAAAGGGGTGGTACTGAGATTGGCACAGTGGTCTGAGACCTGAACAGTCTCTTAAACCCTTCAACAAATATTTGTGGAAAACTCTACTTCCATAGGGCCATACAGAACTTTCTAGAAAGCCCTTGTGACCATGCAGAAGGGCCCTGACTCCAGCCTCCATGCTTCCTATCCTTATCCCAAGCCTGCCATGCAGAGTTTCAGCTGCCTTAAGTTTTTTTCCAACAAAGTGGGGGAAGGAATGAAGAAATCTACCCTACCTGGGATGACACGGCCCTGACAGTGGAGGTGACAGCAGCAGAATGAGGAGGCAACAGTGATAGACTGACTCCTGTTCCTGCCTGCACTGTCCTCCAGATGGTCAAGGCTTCAGCTCCTAACTGGAGCTGGGAGCCAGAGCACCTTTCGTGCCTTGGCTCCATGAGTATTTAGGCAACAGGCATGTCACCAGGCATGGGGACACCTCAGAGAATGAGGCCAACCAGGTCCTGCCCTCAAGGAGTTCCTGGTCCACAGGGAGAATGGCTAAGGCAACAGGTCATTCCAGTATAGTGCAGCCAGCACCACCACATTGGTGCAGTCAGGAAGTTCTACACCCAGTCAAGAGACCTAATGACTGAGCAGGAGTCTGCCATATTGGAGGAGGCAGGAGTCCTGGAAACCATTCACTCCCCCCTTCCTTCTTTCCTCCCTCCCTTCCTTCCTTCCTCCCTTCCTCCCTCCCTTCCTTCCTTCCTTCCTTCCTTCCTTCCTTCCTTCCTTCCTTCTTTCCTTCCTTCCTTCCTCCTTCCTTCCTCCTTCCTTCCTTCCTTCCTTCCTTCCTTCCTTCCTTCCTTTCTTCCCATATTTCACTGAGCACTGTGGTAATCCTGGAGTAAAAAAACTGCCCACATG